GACAAAGGAATAAATTAAAAAAATACTCAAAAATCTAGTGCATTACAATGATCCACATCTACTATGGAGACAGGTCTTATCACATGTTTTGGATTTCTGTTTCTTTACACATGAGGTAGCGTACTAGGAATGGGAATACAGGATGCTGATATGTCGATATACGGCAGGATATGGGTCGGGACCTTCGCTACGTAGCATGGGAATACTTCGCTACAATTACTTCAGAGTGAAGTGTATGGGCTACCTTATCAAGAATGTGATCAGCGAATTGCTTGACCATTGCAATGTGCCGCTGAATTGTTATAGCAGTTAAAAGAGCAGAAGCAGCACCGGCAGCTGAAAATAGCATTCAAGAGAAACTTTTAAAAAACAACAAGTCTTTTTGAAGCGAGACTCGAAAAAAACCGGAGAGCAGTAAAGAATGAGGGGATGAGAATGCAGACATACGCAAATCGCCAGATTAGGTCTTGAGGTGTATGATATTAACATAACCGAAGCATATAATTTCGAAGTTTACGAATTTTAGTGCAGGTTTCAATATTAAGAGTAAGTGGAAGCTTAGATGGCAGAGAAAGGTACTGGAACGACGATATCTCATTGGGCAGGATCTTTAAGCATTCAGGACTGGCGGATCGTCGCTATCGGATCTATTTGCACGCACTTCCAAGGAATTGATAGAGGCCTGTAGTTGGATGTAACCAAGGACTTGCTTCTTCTAATTTTCTTCTAACAGACTAATCAGCTGTGAACAAATATGAGACTTCTGCGGTGTTCTAGTTAGTTAGTTTTGACAATTTGGTAGTCAGATAACGTATGCAAGCCTGTCAAAATGTCTGCTAATTCGGGCTGACTGATAACTATTTGGTAGATTATAAAGCCACCGGCTTTGATATTCCATCTTCTGTATAGCACAAGTAGGTCATATTACCTTTCCTAATTTTGCTATAAACTATATTTAAATTCATAAAGACGGTAGAAATCACGGAGAAAATGTATACTACTGAAGAAGATTTTGTTTACAGAGTATACCTTATTCAGGGGACCAGAAGAAACCTCATTCAAAAGTCGGCATCCTGAGGAGATTGAAATATCTTAAGATTAGGCTTCACAATATTCAATTTTCCAACCCCGCTTAAGTAGTTT